AGTGCTTTAGGAAAGGTAAGGATTTAAATGCCTTATAAATGGTGCAGTATGTTTATAAGACTCATTTACCCTAAGAAAAACTAGAAATATAAAAATATAAACATGCTATACAAGGGTTTAAACAATTCATAAATCATGAACTCCTAACAGTTCTGAGGGCAAGAAAGGGACTTTCAGAGATATTTCTAGCCCCTGAGCAATTGTGAAAGGCCAAGATTCCGCAAAGAAAGCTTTGTCCCTTTTTTAGAGAGGAACGCAAAAGCCAGAACGCACTGCCTGCCCTAGAGAGGCATTCCTCCCACTCATCCGCCCACACACTCGGTCATCCCTACAGGAGCTGAGTCAGGACCCATACAGGGTACTGGGAACAGCGTAACAAGAGACAAGAAAGTGAAATCCAGGTGTATTCCACAAATTATCCTTTTCATTTTAATCAAATGCTTTTACAGCAAACTAGTAGAATGGCCACATGCATGTTTGTATAGTTAGTACCTTCATCTACCGGCTTTTCCCTGCTAAGAAATCTTAAGCTGTGTTATTCAGAGCAAAGACAGCAGCAGTGGGGAGCACCCACAGAGGTGAGTAGCAGACGAAAAGTTCTGTCCTCTGACCTCCCAGCTTTTAATACTGTGACTACACATAAAGCTTGCTCCTTAACGGAACTCTATTCTCATCCTGTTCTAAATATAAACTCAATAATGAGCAAACACAAAGTCTTCGCTACATTCAGAAGGCGCCACAGCGAACCAGGATCCTACTCTGGAAACGAGAGGTCGGCCCGACCAACTGGTGTGTCCCACACTCTTCCAAAACCATATGTATGTGTAGTTTATACTAAGTTTGGCATATACTCAATCTCAGAGGTATAAACGAAGGGGCTTCAATGCACAAGCCAACTAATTCCAGACTTACAAAAGAACAAGAAAGGAAAAGTAAAGAGTTCCAGTCTAGGTTGTGTGAAAACCATCATGTGGTCTCAAGAAAATCACCTCAGCCTAAGTTTCCCAATCTGTCAAGTAGGAATGATGAAACACTGCTCTACCTCCCTCATAAAGCTGTTACAAAAACTTAAGACTACAAAAATGCGTTAGTATGAGCCCCCAACGAAGGAATTCTATCTATAAGAGTTTTGTTTTGTTTTGTTTTGTTTCTTTTTAAAGGTATGTAATAAAATAGGCATATCTTCAGAAGGAGGACAGTTCACATGTTTTGGAGTGAAATCCACTTTCAGGTAGTCTGCCTGGTTTGTCCAGAGTTCCTATTCCCAGTGAAAAGCCAAAAGAAATGCAGAACACCAACTGTTCTAAGAAACCCCAGGAGTAATGTCTGTCTGTCTGTCTGTCTGTCTCTTTAACAAGTGGCTTTGGCTTCTTGTCATTCCAACTTTCTTTTCCCCCTAATCTAATATGCTTGCTCCTTTTGATTCAAGGGTCACAATATTGTCTCTGAACTTTCTCCTTTAGTCTAGAAAGGCCTGTCCTATAATTCTGAGAAGTCCTTATACATTTGAATATTATCTACAATTACACTTTCTCTATCAAGTCTTCTTACAGAAGGGGAACAAATGTGTTCTGACCTAACCCTGTTTAAAAACATCCTAAATGGCTCAAAATCCTAGGTAGTCACGCAAGAAGAACCTAACTCGCCCACCACCAAGCTCCAGATCTCGAGTGGAGTGGGTCAAACAGAAGCAGAACTTCTACAGAACTACAAGAAGAAAGAGAATACTGGATGTGGTGTTGGTCTGGATTCATTGGATCCAGAGTTCCAGGGCTCCTTCACATTAGGATATCTCCTAAGAGACACCTTCAGTCCACAGCTAACATGACATGGAACTAAGAGCACTCACCTGCCTTAGCATCTGCCATAACAATTACAGAAACTCTGAAAAGATACGCCATTTTAATAACATAGTTATTAAAAAGGGAGTACCCGAGGGATTCAGGTAAGCATTATATACCAAATAAACTTCTACAAACAATTAGTTCTCCCATTCTCACCCACACCTACAACTTTTTAGGTTAAAATAATAATTCTTAGTATGTCAAACTGGCAATAAAAATAACATGTATGTAGCTTCTGCCCATGAAAATATCCTTCATTTTAAAAATTAAAGTAGAAATAGTATCATCTTATAAGGATTTTTATAGAAATAGATTCTAATAAAAACTAGTCTAAAGGTATAGAGTCAAGGTTTTTGGAGTCTACCTAATTAAGTTGACAGCTTCCAGCTCCTGGACAGTTGGTAAAGTCACCTTCAGGAAAACCATGTTGAATGCGCACGCATCCAGAAGTGTCGCCAACTTCCTCACATCACTAATGGTGATGATGACTTCCGCCATACAGTAAAAGAATTTCTGTACAATATCGGCCAGGTACTGAGCAGTGACATCTCCAACTAATAAGAGGTCTATTTTTGCCTGAAAGAGAAGGGGAAAAAAACCACAAAACACAGAAGTACCACATAATTAATATCTGGGCACAGAGAAAATGTCATATGTTAGAGGATAGAATCAAAAAGGTTACAAATAACGCAATGACAGCTGGACTGAATGGTCAGCTATAAGCACCTCAAGGGCAGGAACTATTAATTTCATGTCCTCAGTACCTAGGGTAGTGAACGGATTTAAAGGCCATGCTATTTTAAAAAGTTTTGCCTACAAATACTATCCTCCTGTGGTTTTCCTGCAAGTTTCTTTCTCATCCTATTAACAATAGATTGGATTTTTATGGCCTAGTCTCCCAATCACCTGTTCTGCTGGAAAATCTGTTTACTTACGAGAAAACCCAACTGGTGACGCTCCCAAGCTATTTTGATGAAACACACGTTCCATAGGACAGAGTAAGATCTAAATTCCTAAATCCTAAGAAACACTCAAATAAAGTCCTTTATTTGAAAGGATTACATGCTATTCAAATCCCAATATTAGGAACCAAAAAGCTTCATTTCCATTTGGGAATATTTTCAAGCACATTCAATTAGGAAAAATATGATTTCCATCTTCACTTCTATTTCTCTATTTTATATTCTCTACAGCTACTGAACACAATCTACTAAAAATATCAAAGAATGGGAATGCTTGAATTAATGGAAACTGTCAGTAGACAGTTGGACATGCCAGGCCATAGACAGCTTCACATGAGAAAACAAATTTGGGAATTGACCAATTGAGTCAAAAGAGGTGGGTGAAGGAGTTAGAAATACCTGTATGAAAAGAAAGGCAGCTTGAAAAAGACAGAGCTCTCTAGGGCAGTTAGAATGTGGGTGGCCTGCCACGGGGCTTCCCTCCCCCTTCAGCCTGGTTTCCCAAGGGCTGCTGGAAAGAACACGTGAGGTGCAATACTCTAGGCAAGTTCGAAGTAAGCAAACTTTCTGCACTTTTCACTTTTATCTGCCTTTTTTTGTTAAACAAAAAAATGTTAGTCTTCCTTCACCCATCACTCATATCCTACCTAATTCAATCCCCTCCCTACAAGCAACAAATGTCAACAGTTTGGTATATAGCTTCCCAATTTCTTTGTCAAACATATAACACACATATACAGCTTTTTGCATGAATGAGATGTATATATTTTGTTTGTTTGTTTGTTTTTTAGCTGAGCCATCCTGCCACCTGTTGGCAGCTCAGAGGCAGCTCAGCTCAGGCCGGGAATTGAACCGGCGGCACTGTTGCTCAGAGTTCATACTCTTGAGCGAGCTCTTAAACAACTGAGCCACTCGGCCAGCCCTGAGATATATATATACTTTTAAAGTAAGTTGCTTTTCTCACTTAATACAGTTCAACAATTCCTCAGAAATTCTGGTTCACTGGGAACATTCTCATTTTTTCATCTGTTATAGATTTATTCTCTTAAATAAATATTTTCTATCATTTCTTGTCATCTAGGGTGGAAGGAGAATACATGCTCATCTGTCATCTTGATCCAGTCTCCTCACATATTATAATTTATTGAATCATTCTCCTAACGTAGAATTTTGATGTTATTACAAGGCTGTGATGAATACCTTTGTACATACACTTTTGTGCAAATAAGCATATATCCTAGAGGCAAACTATAAGTTTGAAAAATAAGGATTTGCTTTTGTTTTTCAACTTAGGTACTGCCAAATTGTTCTCTCCAAAAAATACAAAAATTTACATCTACACCAACAGTGTACATGAGTAACCATTCCCAAGATCATTAATAAGACTGATTAATTTTTTTCCCATTTTTGCCAATATTGTAGGCAAAAAAAACCTTAATTTTCCTTTTCATTCTCATTTTTCTAATTAATATTGAAGTTGAGTATCTTTTCATTTTAGTGACAATTTCCATTTCTATTATTGTATATTCTAATTATTATGCTTGCCTATTTATTACCTTTCTTTTTCCATTGCTCTGTAGGCATTTATATACTCTGGACATAAGTCAACTATTTTTTTTTTTAGTCTGTCATGGCTATTAACTTTAATTATAAGATTTCTTATAATAATGATATATTTAGTAATAAATCTACCAACTCTTTCCTTTAGGGCTTGGTAGATTTTTGTCTTGCTTTCAAAGCCATCTCTATTCATATTATAAAGATATGCTTTTCCTAGACAAGAAAAAACTAAAGGAGTTATGTTAAAGGGACTTCTTAAGATGAAAAGATCAAAAATATAAATAAGAGGGCGGGCCGAGTGGCTCAGTTGGTTAAGAGTTGGCTTGGGAGCGCAAGCTCTGAGCAGCAGGGCCACCAGTTCAGATCCAACATGGGCCAGTGACACTGCACCCTCTACAGCTAAGATGGTGAACAACAGCTCAACCTGCAGCTGGGCTGCTGTCAGTGGCTGGCAACAGTGTAGGCTGCAGTGAGGCTGCAGTGGGCTGCCGTGAACTACTGTGAGTGGCTGGCAGCCAGAGTGAGCAGCTGGCGAGAGCTGCTATAAGCTGCCATGAGCAGCTTGTCCAATGGCCAGTGACCAACTGCCTCAGCCGGGAAGAGCGCAATGATCATATTGGGTCTTCGGAAAAGTCATGACACATGTTTGCAACAGATGGTACTAGTTGATTTTTGGAAGTATTAGAGTCATTCACATCTATGTTATTGTTTTGTCATTTGATAGCTGACAGTTCTAGCTTCATTCTAAAAAAAAAATTGAGTGATTTGGTTGAGTTTTGGAGATTTTACAAGCTGAAGATGGAAGACCAAACTGTGCATTTTTGTCATATTTTACTGTTTTACTTCCATAAAGGGAAGAATGCGAGTCAAGCTTGTGAAAAGTTGCATCAAGTTTACGGTGACAATGCTCTACAAGAATGTCAGTGTCAACGATGGTTCACGAAATTACATGCTGGTGGTTTTTATTTCAATGACACTCCTCGGTCAGGGAGGCCCACCGAGGTTGATGACAACAAAATAAAGGCATTGATCCAGTCAAACCCATGTTACACAACATGAAAGATTGCAGAAACATTGAACATCCACCATTCAAGTGTTCATGACCACCTGAAGAAGCTGGGATACATAAGCATGCTCGATATTTGGATTCCACATGAACTCAAAGAAGTTCATTTGACGGCGCATATAAACATCTGCTACATGCTCATTAAATGTGAGAAAAATGATTCTTTTTTGAAGCGACTGACAACTGGTGATGAGAAGTGGATTGTTTACAACAATTGTGGTGTGCTAACGATTTTGGTCCTGATGTGATGATTCGCTTCAAATGACATCGAAAGCAGACATTGATCAGAGGAAGGTTATGCTCTCAGTGTGGTGGGATTTTAAAGGTGTCGTATTTTTCGAGCTCCTATCAAGGAACCAAACAATCAATTTGAATGTGTACTGTCGGCAATTGGACAGTTTGAACAAATCCATCATCCAGAAACGACCAGAGCTTGTTAATTATAAAGGAGTTGTGTTCCATCGTGACAATGCAAGACCACACACAAGTTTGATCACCCGTCAAAAATTATTGGTGCTTGGATGAGATGTGTTGCCATACCCACCATCCTTGCCTGACCTTGTGCGGTCAGACTTCCACTTGTTTCACTCTCTTCAAAACTCCTTACGTGATATAACATTCAATTCAGATGAGGCTGTAAATCAGCACCTTGTTCAGTTTTTCACAAATAAAAACAGGTCTTTCTAAGAACGAGGAATTCTGAAGCTCACTGAAAGCGGCAAAAGGTTATCGAACAAAACAGGCAATATATCGGTAGATCTTTGTTTTTTATATAAATAAATGACCTTTGAAAAACATAGACAAAATACATCATGACTTTTCTGAAGACCCAATAATACCAACATGGGCCAGTGAAGTGGTGTCCTCCACAACTAGTCTGAAGAACAAAAGGACAGCAACTTCTCTGTTCCCCTTTCCCAATTCTCCAACCTTGTTCCCTCCCCCAACTCCCCAATGAAATCTTAAAAATATATACCGGTATATGAATAAGAAAATGTAGGGAAAAAGTTCTCACTGACAAAGGCAAACACATAATAAAAGCAGTGAATCAACCAACACTAAAGCTAGTACAAAGGGTGAAAGACAAAAGTAGGAAGATCATATGTAATTACAATATATTAAGGGATACACACAAACACACATGCAAAAGAAATAAAAAATAATGACTAAAACATAAACGTGAAGGGAGTAAGTAAAAATTTTAGTGACTTTAGAATGTGTTCAAACTTAAGCAACTATCAAAAGAGACTACTATAAACATAGTATACAGGAAGCACATGGTAACCACATACCAAAATTTACAAGATATACAAGAAATAAAGAGAAAGGAATTCAAACACAACACTATAGAAACTCATCAACACACAAAAGAACAAGAAACAGAGAAATATAAAAACAATTAAGAAAATGGCAATAACTACATACCTATCAATAATTACTTTAAATGTAAATGACTAAATGTTCTAATAAAAAAAGACATGGGGTGGCTGAATGGGTTAAAAAAACAATACCTATAAGTATACTGCCTATGAGTGACCCACTTCAGATCGAAAGACAGACACAGACTAAAAATAAAGGGATGGAAAAAGATATTTCATGCAAATGGTAACAAAAAAAATGCTGGCATAGCAACACTTATATCAGATAAAACAAATTTATTTATTTATTTTTATTTATTTTTATTCATTTATTTATTTATTTATTTTAAAGATTTCTTGGGGAATTGGGGGAGGGGGACAGTGTTGAGGAATCGGGGAAGGGGAACAGACAAGTTGCTGTCTTTTTGTTCTTTAGTCTAGTTGTGGAGGACATCACTTCACTGGCCCATGTTGGTGTTATCATTGCATTCTTCCCGGGAGAGGCAGTCGCACTCCAGCCATTGGACGGCCGCTCATGGCGACTCACGGCAGTTCATGAAAGCTCACGCCTACTACCGGCCAGCCCCACTGCAGCCTACGCCATCACCAGCGATTCATGGCAGCCCAGCT